TTCATAGCTTCCTTAAAAGATCGTGGTTCTTTTCCCGAAGTTACAACTGCAATAAAATTTCGGTAATGCAAAGAAAAACTATCACAATTTATATAGTGTGCATAGGATAGGGAGAACCTGAGGTATGCTGTGGAGACGAAGTGTTAGGGGATGTGGAAGACGGACTGTTCGTAAGAATAGTATGAGTAACGAAATCTCGTAACAAAACATTCGGGAATTTCTCACGCATTCCACGACCCAAAGATTTATCATGAATATTTGCGCCTGACGACTCAGTAGTCAACTGTGGACCGAGAACAGTAGACGGATCAGGAGCCTCGAACTGCTGAGCAACAATGGCCGAATGATCTGTGTTCGGCTCATCCCCTGTGAGTGTATCCGGCTGGTTTGCAGCAGCTCCCAGTTCCACATTTTGATCAACGATGTCAGTGACATCATCAAAATCATAATCGATCTCAGTATGCACAAGCACTATATGCTTAGGGACAATATTTGAAGAATCCGGGTCAACGAATGGGAATTTTTCTTCAAAGAACTTGACGTCACGAGAAATAAAAAATTCTTTTGAATCCAGATCAAAGAGCCTCCATCCTTTCTTCCCAAATGGATATCCTACAAAGATACACTCGCGACTACGACTAGAAAACTTATCTCCCTTAGATTGCAAATTGTGGGCGAAACAAAGACACCCAAAAGTGCGAACAGCAGTGTAAGAAGGAGCATGTCCAAACAAAAGTTCATATGGGGTTTTATTTTGCAACAATGGAGAAGGGGTCCGATTAATTAAATGGGCAGCTGCCAGAACACTCTCCCCCCAGAAATAAATGGGCAAATTTGCTTGAAATCTTAGTGCTCTTCCAACATTCAAAATGTGTTTATGTTTTCGCTCAACTCGCCCATTTTGCTGTGGAGTTCCCACACAAGAGGTTTGAAACAAAATTCCCGTGGCAGCAAAGAAATCACGCAAACAATTGAACTCGGTGCCATTATCACTTTGAACTATCTTAATTTTTTGAGTAAATTGTCTATCTACCATTGCCACAAAAGACATAAACATACGAAACACCTCAGTCTTGTCAATAAGCAAGTAAATCCAAACAGCACGAGAAAAATCATCAACTATTGTTAAGAAATAACGAGCACCACAAGATGAACTGTGTCGATAAGGTCCCCACAAATCACAATGTACTTTCTCAAAAATTCTGGAGGCATTAGTTGTACTTGAGGAAAATCTATCCCTAGAATGTTTAGCACGAAAACAAATTTCACATGCTTTATTTAAGTTCCCCTTACAATGAGAAACAGGCGGAAGAAGTTTCACTATTTTTTCAGACGGATGACCCATACGCCTATGCCAAAGTTCCAGTAGAAAGGATGTTTCACCCGTAGACACATGTTGCACCGAAGCAGCCCCTTCAAAATAGAACAGTCCATCCCGCCTAACACTCGTTCCAATCAGCTCCCTCGACTGGTGTTGTATAACACACATAACAGAGTTAAATTGGATAGTATAGTTTGTATCATCAATCAATTGCGATACCGGGATTAAATTACAACGCAAATTAGGGACATAAAGCACATGTTTAAGAACAATTTTCGGTGATAAGCGAATTGAGCCTTCCTTTGTGGCCAAAACAGTTTTGCCATTCGGGAGACCCACTGGACAGTTCAAGACGGGGTGAGTATTAAACAACCATTTATCATCACACGTAACGTGTCTAGAAGCACCTGTGTCAACAATCCACTGTGTATTATCAAACTCACCGTTCAAGCGATCATCAGGAATTTTAGTATTACCAATGAACCCCGCAAGTACTTTCCATTGTTCTGCCGTGAACACAGAAGGAGATTTGCCTATATTACCATTCCTGGAAGTGGATCCAGAGACAGTTGCATTAGCACGCACTGAGCCACGCCCTTTTCCTCCCGGAGGTGCTGATTTACCGCGACCGCTGATAAGTCTAATTTGTTCATATATTTTCACTCACTTTTTATAGTGTTTCTTGTCAAACTCGGGGCAAATTGTTACATTTTTCTGCATTTTTGTTTCATTTTTGTTAATGTTTGAAATTAGTGCTGAAATTTACATTTTTGAGTGATTTGTGTTTAATTCAAGTGTTGGATTGAGTTTTTTTTTGTTCTTATTTGTGTTATCTGTATTTTGTGATTTGTCAAATTTTAGTATTATATTATATTTCAATGTTATTTTAATACAATAATCAAATAAAGCAAAAAAAAATCATGAAAAGGAGATTAAAAAAAAAAGCAGCGTAGCTGCATTTCAAAATCATAATAAACAAAAGAAAGAGAAAACACAAAAAAAATCACAAAAGCAGCCAAGCTGCGTAACAAAGAAAACAAAACAAAATAAAGAGAAGGAAAAAGAACAAAATAAACAAGTGAGATAAGATGGAGTAGTCGGCCAACAAAAACAAGGAAGAGGAAAGTTAGCAGGCAGCTGCGGCTCACATGGGCTGCCAAACAAGAAGGGACAGGTTGATCCATTGGTCTCAACCGAAGAAAAAGGAGATAAAAATCCTGGGAGAGCAGCTGGTCAAAAACACAATTCACAGCCGTAATGACTCAAAAGTAGCTCTGGGCAGAGAAAAAAACGCAGGCATGGGATAGACAGTTAATTCACAGCTCTTGACCGCAAGACAAGGACAGATCCAAGGAGGAAGGATAGAGCAGTTAGCGGAGAAAAAGCAGAACGCAAGGCAGTTCATGTCCATCATCATTTATCATCTTTTAATCTTAACTTTTAAGGTTTGGTGTCAAGCTTCTTTCTTAAATTCATGTTTGAATAATGTTATGTTCTTGTATTATTTCCAATTTCCAGACTTTCAAGTTTGTTTCTTCGTTCTTGAAATGTTATAATTGCGAATTTATTTGTGTTCATGTATTACTTTGGCTCCTCCATTAATGTTGTTAGTTGCTTGATAATGATGTTAGGCTAAATTTCCATGGGGTTTGGATTTGGATAAAATTTAGGTTAATGGGTGTTCTTGAATGTTGAGTTAAATTTGGGAAAATTCTCTATTTTTAAGACTAGTTGTTTGAGTTGAAATTGAAAGAGTAATTTGTGAAATTGATCACTTCACTTGTGAATTTTTGGAAGATTAATTCTTTCTTGTCTATGAGTTTGGAATTAATTTAGCTCACATCTCACACACCCTAAACTAAGCCTAGAAATAGGACATGTTAGGGGAATTAAAATTAAATTCTTGTCTATGAGAATTAATGTCACTATTCTTAGATTGGAGAAATTATCCCATTTTTATTCATAATCAATGACACCCAAGATCCTTAATTCCAAATCTAGACCCCACTTTTAATTAGTTAATTTATTGTCACTAATCACATTGCATTTACTTTTACTATTTTTTTTGAAACTTTACTCATACATATGTTTGCTAGTTTAATATTTTCATTAGTTAATTTTCTCTCTCAAGTTATTTTGCATGCTCACTAGTTTTAGTTTACTCAATAATGCCATTTAATTAAATTCGCAGTTATTACTTTTATTGTTTATTTTTATTTGGTTAATCATTATCACAATTTAATCGTTTGAGAAAGCTTGCAAGGACTCGTACTAACCGGTGACCGATATTGAAACCAACACTTCCCTCCGCCACTCCTCAGAGACACGATACTTGGGGATAAACTTTTCCATCCGGAAAGGTTAAACTCCGTTTTACTACAACGCCGCGAAAGCGGCTATCAACCGCCACCCTGCACCTTTGACTGAATCGGCCACCAGTCTGGATAGCCTTTGAGTTCAAAGCAATCAACTACCAAATGGCCAGTCTTCTTGCAATGATTACATGTAAGACTTGATTTATCTGGTCTGTCATAAGTTCCTTCTGCCTTACCCCTGCCAATATTAGCCCGAAGAGCAAATCCCACTGTTTCAGGAGGTTGTTCCTCTGTTGTATCCTTAGCGAGTCTGACACGCTCATCTTGCACGACTAATTGATAGGCACGGTCAAGCGTAGTGACGTGCACTTTGTCGTGATGTGCACTCAAAATAATAATACAATACGACACTAATACGTAGTATAGTGTAGTAAGGTTCGTATCCACAGGGAAAGGAACACTTCTCTTTTTATATAATTAGAAATAAGTAACAAAGGGGGGTTTTTATGATTGGTTGATGAACTTAAATTATATTTAAGCACGAAGATGAACGAGTTATGTGGTTTAATTAATGAGAAGGAGACTTGGTTTTGCTTTTATCCACTTAATGAAATGTTCGTCGATCCCGGTTATATCTTTAACTATCTTCCTCTCGAATACTCAATCGAGGAGTATATCCAGTTCATCGAGGGTAGTTATTAATAACGAGATGCGTTCATTAATAAAACTTACTATCGAGTCAATATAGAACAAGCGCCGTATATTAACTTGATAGTAGCAATAAACTTAAGATGAAAACGATTGAGATTGATAACCTCAACACAAGCGGTTTATTGGTTAATCAATGTAATTAATTCCCCTTAGATTATTAACCATGAGATGCATGCATTAATAATCCAAGTTTACTACCGTGAAAGGACCGAATTAATAACAAGCGTATTAATCGACCGATTCTAGTATTAATTAATATATGAAACAAAACTAGTTGATCCTTTAAGTAATGTTCAAAATATTAATATGAAATATGAATAGGAATTAATTAATACTCAAGAAAGAATATCAAAGAAGATGAATCCTACTATAGTTAATATCAAGATGTTAACTAATAGTCATCTTAGTAACACTCCCCGATATTAACGTAGAGGAAGAAATAACTATTACTATAACTAATGTCAAGATGTTAACTAATTGTCATCTTAGTGACACTCCCCAACATTGATATAGAAATAGTATTTAAAGGAAGAATTAATATTCAAGGAAGAAGATTAAAGATAATAACTCACAACTTACAAATTCATTAAGCTTCAAAGGAGCAAAACCAAGATGGAAGGGTTTAGCTCCTCATTTGGAGACTAAACATGCTATAAAAATATAAAAGAAATACTATTCTAAACTGAGCTTAAGAGTATGGAAGAAGGGATGTTTAAAAGTGAAGGAAAATGGGGCTATTTATAGGTGTTTTTCAACACCTTTGGCCGGGTACCCGACCGGGTAAAGTGCCCACCCGACCGGGTGCATGTCAAAATCAAATATCGTCCACGTTCTAGCGATCTTCGGCACGTTCTGGTGTTCCGGGTCAAGTCGGACCCGACCGGGTGAAATACCTCACCCGACCGGGTGATATAATTTCCTGAGTACCTGTATCTGTTAAATCAGACCCGACCGGGTGAAGTGTCTGACCCGGCCGGGTCTGTGCACATGGGTATTTTTCTTCTTCTTTTCACTTCTTTTCCTTGCCAATAACTCTACTACTACTTTACAACTTACTAAAAATGATTAAAATCAATTACAAACAAATGAAGATGATTGCTTAAAAACTAACTAAAAACGGTAAACAATCCACACAGAATAAATATAAAAACATACATTTATGCACTACAAACTAGTGCATATCACGTAGGCAATGGATCATTAGACAAAATATTAGAACGAATTTGAGCATGATGTTCAGCATTCAAACCCATTAAAAAATCGTGGAGTCGAGTACTCTCACGTCGTTTTTCATGTTCTGCACCGGCTGTACACTTACTGCAACAAGAGCATGTGATTAATGGTTCATGTTTATTCAATTCTTCCCATAGAGTAGTCAATTTACCGAAGTATTTGACTACAGGCATGGTCTTTGGCTGCTCACATCTCGCAATTGCCTTCCGCAATTGCTGAATTTGTGGTCCGTTTACTGTAGCGAATCTGGTCTTCAGAGTGTCCCAGAGTTGCTTCGCATCTTTATATTTGGACAAAGTGCATTTGATTTCAGGATCTACGGTATTCATAATCCATGAAACCAGCATAGCGTGAATCATTTTCCAGTCCATTGCAGTACAAGAAGACGGTGAGGTAATCGTCCCATCCAAGAAGACGAACTTCCTCCGGGCTTCCAGCGCGGTCTGTATATCATCCGCCCACTCATTGTAGTTCTCTCCACAGAGACGAGTTGGAGTAATGAAGTCTCCTGGACGGTCTTGCGGACCAAGATAATACAGAGATGTAATGTCTAAGCGTAAAGGAGGTGGCGGTGGTTCATCACCGGCCATGGTTTTCTTTTTAAGGCTCTGATACCATGAAGGATTGGTAAAAGCCGTGTCTGGCATATTCTCAATCATCCCTTTTTAAAGTACAACCATTACAGAATATAAATGGCAAGAAATAATAAGAGTAAATGCTATGCTATATGATTGAAAAGTAATCACCCTAAAATCATGAGGCAATATTCCGCACAAGTAGTATTTCATAATAATAATACATGTAATTATTACCGAAAAATAATCATGAAGATAGCTGGTAATTTCATTTCACTTCAATTGACACAATGACACATATCTATAGTGAGATGAGACGAAGCAATCTCAACAATAGGAGTAAAGCATATTTAAAGTAAAAAAAATAGGAGGCAATGTTTAAACTGCAGTACTGCACTAAATAGGAATCATAATTTGTGATTGAACAAATACATCCATGGAGGAGTTCAATCTTGGTCAGCGGACAACCGCTATCAGTCGCCAAACCGCTGCCGCTGTTCGCCGGAATGCTGCTGAATTCCCTATTCCCTAAAAAAGTAGGGCAGAGGGCATTAATTATATTAAGAGTAAAAAGATATTAATTATATATGAAGAACATACAACATCAATTCACATTTAGGAACCTTGACCGTGTTAGTCATATTTCCCACAATTTCTTTAATGCAATCCTAAATATTAGGGGTGGGCGCGGTCCGGTCCGGTCCAATATTTGGCCGAACCTGTACCCATACCGTTACTATTCAAACGGTTCGGTTCGGTCTTAGACCTAAACCCGTTCGGCACGGTTTCATTTTGAAACGGGACGATACCATGTCATACCAATACCAAACAATGCCACTTTTTTCAAGTATTTAAGAGACAATTAAAGTTTAGTCATCCTCCAAAAATCTACACAATTTATCAATTTTCATACTCATTTCATCCCAAATTGACATGCAAAGTCAATATTTTTTGGTCAACCAATGTTAGAGTTAAATTCTCTTCATTGATAATTAATTCAATTTTTAATAATTAAAATAAACATATTCAGAAACTACATTGAAATTTCTTCAAAGTTGCAAGCTCTAAATTAAATATAATTAAAAATTGACATTCTAGTTAAGTGAATAAAATGAATCTGTTTGACAAAAAAAGTTAATTTTGCAAATCAATTTGGGACGAAGGTAGTATTACATAATTAATAAATTTCAGATACATTATAGTAGTACAAATTTAAATGATTAAACCATACATCGGTCCGATTCCAGACTTTCTATAAACTAGCAAAGACGGTGAAAATGTAAAGGCACTAGTCAAAATAATGGTATAAATGTAAATTTAAATAATTAAATCATACTTCGGTCCGGTTCGGTTCGGTTTCGGTTCTCATTTTATGAGAACCGGTCATGGCATTATTGAGAATCGGTACGGTTCGGTTCGGGACAAAACAATTGAGATCCGTTTCAAACCTCATTTTTCGGTCCGGTACCATATCGGTTCGGATCGGTACCATGCCGGTTCGGTATTTTTGCCCACCCCTACTAAATATCGGCTGAAACAACTCATTTGACTGAACTTTTTGCGGGATCGGGCTTGGTCTAGGTAGCAGATTTAGACTTATCTCGGTGATATGAGAACTGACTATGAAACCGACCTCGGTGGAATGGGGCCCGGTTGCAGTTTTGGACTTGGCAAATTTTGGGGATCCATTACTGATGAATGTTGATATCTCTGAGATAAAATGCTGACAAATATTATAATTAGAGTCATTTTCAGTGAGTTTTTTTGGATCAGTTTTTTGTTTTTTAATGTAAATGGACTCGAGTAACAAATGATGTTGAGTTTAACTCGCTTTAGAATGATCATCTAAAACTGCTACAGAGTATTTGTCTTATACGGCGTACTTATGGTTTCAATATCTTATTAGAATGATTAGATTATAGTCTTGTTTAATTATTTGTTCGGCACTTAGAGTTTGTCCGCCTGATTTGAACTGAATGAGGGTGTTAAATAGCACCATTATATTAAATGTATATGCTACGAGCTGAATGTCTTATACTACCTCCGTCCCTATTTCAAAGTGTCTCTTTAAATTACACACAATTTAAAAAAGTGACATTGTTTGACACCATTTGGAACTACTTTGCACTGTTTTGTTTGCTAAACAAGGAAAGAGAACATTTTTAAGAGACGAATTGAAAAGGAAAGTGAGATATTTATATAGGGACAGAGTGAGTATATGCGTAGTATGTAACAATATAAGTATGAAGTCAAACTATATCTTTATTCATTATGTAAATGTTGTCGAAGTGTCAAGTATAACACTGACATTACTACAGAAATCAGAATTCTCTCCACCAGTTACATCAGCTTCTTGCTAAATCACAGTGAGAATTCTTGCTGCCGAGTTAGAACTTCAACTTTAAATGCATGCTGCTTCTTCACATTACAATGGATCAGATCTTATTGCGCAGATAGGCTAGAACAAACACTGTCAGCGCCCCGACGGAAACACCAAGCAATGGAGCTGCAGGGACTACTTTACGGGAAGCAACCAGACGTATAGCTGTAAAAGTAACACCAATGAAATTGCAACCTTGTAATTGATTATAAGACAGGCTATGGTTAAAGCTGGAGAGAAAACATGTTCACTAGACATTAGGTTAGAGAGGCTAATGGATCAGATTCAATCTTACAAAATTATTGCAAATAGGAGTAACACGTAAGTCATGTGAACATTAGGTTTTCAAGAAAAAAACATAGTACTCATGTTGAGGGTAACCACCTTGTATTTACTCATTTAGAGAATTTTTCCCCTAATGAATATATTTGACCTAAAAGCATTATGACCCAATTGAGTAATTGAAATCCAACTCTGACTATATATGGAGCAAATGGAAATACATACCAAATACAGAGGAAAAGAGGAGTGCTGATCCAAATGCTAAGGCGTCCCCTAATTCTTGGGTCTCAGATGCTTGCATGAGGAAGTAAGCCTGTAAAAGAATCATTTTCAGTTCTAGGCGAACACATATAGCTTCTTGTTTGATGACTATGATCTTTAATACTCCGTATCACAATTCGGAAAAAAACATACTTTGTATGTGTTAAGATATTTTTTTAGAAGGAAGGCAAATGATTCAAAAGAACAAAAATACAATGTGTAAGAACAAGAGCCAACGTCAACTGTCATAATAACTGTATGTGTTATCATAATTGGCTACTCTTACTCTCTATGACAGTAAATTATAAATATACTGAATGCAGGTTATCCATTTACTTTCCAGATCTTGAAATATAACCCAATTCATGTTTTTCTCCTAATGAAGCAAAATTGTAGACATTCAGTATTTCCACTTATTGGTCTAATTAAAACAACCACTGAGCTCAGCTGGGGAAAGGATTATTGGAGCCATAGCTAGCCAAACCTTAAATCTAATTTCTTTTCAACATACCAATCCCCTATTCTACAAAGATGACAGAGTAATAAGACGAATGCTAAAGCATGAGCAACGGAACAATTACAAATAGAAACATCATCTGATTAGAATCGATGTTATCATTGTTACTAAATTCCATAGATAAATTCTCTTAGGGTAACTTTTGATGGAGGGGGAGGCTTAGGAGGTTTAGCCTAAATCTTCATTCATACTTTGTACTACGTATATATGGAATGTGTCTACAAACGAATAAATGGTTATTCAAATATTTCTTATCACTAATTATAAAATCTCAATGTCGATCAAGATATATACATTCATCCCTCCAAAACCCTACCCCCAAAATGACCCTTAGCCAGAGTTCAGTTACTGGTATAAACCCATTTCATATCCCATCTTAAATTGAACTCTACTCATCTACTAAACTTACCTCAAGCTAAAAAAAAACATCAATAATTTGTTAAGAATCAGATCTCCCAGCATTTCAAAAGAAAAAAAAAAACTAAAATTTAAAGTTTTTAGTTGAAACAAGACTTAACTGTACCCATAAGTGTGCCGCCAGTTAATCCACCTATAAGTGAACCCTTACTTCCAGATCTTGCATCTGCAGAGCAAGAATGCATTTTCAGGGGGGTTCAAATATAATTACATACATATTCAGCACATGAGCAGGAAAATATGCACATTCCAAACGAGAAGAAAAACAAAAATTACATGCAAAGAGGCCGCCTCCAAGCAATAGAGTTCCATAAGCTGCAGAAGTGAGAGGTGCAAGGTCTGTTGTGAGCTGAGACTTACAGCGAAGACCGGATGGCCGTCTGCATTTCTGGGTCGAAATTGTTGGTTTATCGGAGACGATTGTGCTAGAAGAAATGCCAAATCGAGGAGGTCTTGGAGGAAGCGGCGTAAAATGTGGCGTTCTACTGAAGATGGAGCTGACATTGCTGCAACAACCCATCATCGTCTCCCCAGCTCCCCTGTAGTAAACGATAGAAGCCCAATGACAGTTTTGCCGTTTTGGGGCGTTTGGTGACTTTTGGATATACTTCCTCATTCTTAAATAAGTGCAACAGTCAACCTTTCACACTTGTCGAGACACAACTTTAACCATTAATATATATAATTCTCTATTAGTAAAAAATTTAAAAAAATCAGTTTTTGAAAATTTACAATAAGACAAATTTAATAATATATCTTTTAAAAAATATATTAATACATCAACAAATAAAAATGTATTCAAAGTAGAACATGTGAATAGTCTAAAATTTCACATGTTGCACTTATTTAATAACGGAAGAAGTACTCCGTAAGTACTCCCTCCTTATCACATATATCTTCCCACTTCCAAAGTGAGTGAGATTAAGAATAGTGAAAGGGGATATAAATTATTGAGTGTATGATGGGAAGATAGTGAAATAATGTGATGAAATGAAGGATAAATCCAAAAAATAAGGTGTAATAGTGTATTATTTTTTGAATTATTGAGGGTATGATGGGAAGATTTAGAAATGGAAAGATATAAATGTTACGTCCAAAAAAAGAAATTGGGAAGATATGAATGTTACGGAGGGAGTATAAGATTCGTTTGTTTTGGACACAAATGGTGTGCGAGCAATGTGAGTAGGGGTGCACCAGCCCGGGTCCTAAGACAGGATTGGGCGGGACTAAAATTTTGGGTTGTAGGATATATACTAGTCGGGTTTGTACCCAGGGGCGGATGTACCTTATGCTTAATGGGGGGCACATGCCCCCAATACAATTTGACTTTTTAATTATAAAAAATGGTGTTTTAGTAAAAAAAAAATATATAATGCCCCCAATGGAAAAAAATATAATGCCCCTATACGGAGAAGCAAAACAACACTAACAAAGAATCTGGTTTTTTCAATTCAGAACTACTTCATCAGAACAAAAATTTCTCTTTTTTTATTGCTAGGCTTCTTTCTTAACAACAATTTCCTCGTTTCAAGTATCTTGCTTTCACATACGATAGTATTTTTAATTTTCTCTATTTTGTTTCAAAAATAGGTAATGATTGATTATAATTTCCGCATTTAATTTGTCCCCTGCCACAAATAGCTATTTTTTGTGTTGTTTTAAAGTAATCGT